GGGTTCAATACTCCGAAAATAATCCCAATAGGCTCCTTTGTACAGGCCGTTCCGAGCTGAATAAGGGCGTCAAATGACGGCAAGACGTCCCCCTGGCGGAAACACTGGTCATCCCTATATAAGTTTATGCCATTCTTAACCCATTAAAACAACGTTTGAACACCTTTCGCTAGTAAGGGAAGGAAATAAAATGTACACAAAGTAGAATAATACATAATATTCAATAGAGGAGACAAGGAAATATTACATTAAAAAGCAAAAAAATGTAAAAGTTAACTTAATAAACAACCTGCAATAAAGAAGACAGTCTGAATAATGAAGTACACGTTAAAGCGTGGGACTTCATTCTGATTTTAAAGATGTTATTCTAAAATATACTAACTTTAGATTTTCAAATGTTAAAAGGGCAAATCTGAATACAAGGAACTTTTTATTGAAGGGTATGAAGCAGCATTGGATGTCTTTTCCATGCCTGATTTTTGTTAAAGGTCCCATGTCATGGCCATTTCTACTGATCATAATTCCATTGTTGAGGTCTACATGGACGTGGGAATGGTATGGGCACGTCACAGTACCCAGGAAGAAAACAATGGAAAAAGAGAAATGAGGCATTCTGGGGGCAGCATAGACAGGTATTTTCTGTGTTTGAGTTGTACTCGCTACAGGGTGTACTTTGAGAGTTTGTGACTATGCAGACCGTTTACATGCATAACCTGAAACCTTCATAACAAACAAGGGGACGGGTAATAACCGGAAAAGCATGACATGGGACCTTTAAATAAGATGCTTCCAGTATTAGCTTTAAAAAAGAAAATGTCATGAGAGAGTCACTTATGGAGAGACGATTGAGTGAACTTTTCCCTTCACTGCTCCCTAGCTCCTCCCTGTTGACTCCATTCACTTTGGGAAAATGAATAGCATGTGGTGCCTTTTCTAAGTCTTGGGTTTCGTCTTTTGTTGTGGTCAGTCACTCGTACTTTTTAATTGAAGCTTTTTTTCTTTCCGTCTTCATCCATCTCCTGCTTAATCCAGGCCCTTAGTGATTTCAGAGCGTATACTTTTCAAAGGTACACATCATTAGCATGGGAATCTTGACCCTCAAAATAACTGCCTCACACAGCTACTTAAATCTATATTGTTTCTCTAATAGTGTATGTCTTGAGACATGAGCAAATGTATGCTCGGCTTTAATTTAGCCCCCATTTGTACATTTTTGAGTATAACAGGAACTCCATTGTGGCCTCCCACATTTCCATTACAATTTGCACAAATTCTGTCGTGTGAGACTCAATCTTCTTCGCAAATAAATGGTTTTACACCAATATATATGACAGTATTTGCTAAATCAGACTGTGTAGAGTAGACTATTAAACTTCCATGTCTAGTGATGCACTTGTGGAGCAAACGGAATAGGAAAAGGTAAAAACAGGCATAGTTTCCAAGGTGATGACCACTCTCAAATGTTCACTGAGTTCCCCAAGTGGTTGTCATTAGTGATGTGGGTTCGACAGAGCCCCAAGGCTGCCTCTTTTCCAAGGGCTGTTGTAAAATAATAAATGTGACTTTGAAGGATGTGTCCTCCACATGATTGCACTTCCTCTCTTCCTCTCTCTGCCTTTCTTTTTTCCCCTTCCTGGTTTCAGTCTTAATAGAGGCTGCTTTTCTGATTTGAATTAACCATATGGCCCAGAATCAGTTCAGCGACAGTCGTACAGCTCTTTGTCACTGGATGGCCAGCTCAAGTGAGCTTTATCATATTTATTTACTTCGAGGGCCCTGCAAATAAATGGAAGCTGCCACCAGACTTCCTTCCCCCCCTTGGAGGCGCCTCGCGTTAGCCCCGGGCAAAGTAATGCAAAGCGACTTTGAGGGTTGATGTTGCAGATTGAATTATGCCCTTGAAGAAAAGCTATTGGCTCAGTCAAGAGTCCTTATTTGTTAAATTAAAAGTGGAAATGACAAGAGTAGTCTTTAGTGAATTAAAGTTGCCAAGAAAATTGAATCAAAGGCAATCGTACAAAACAAAATCATGTGAAGGGAGAATTGTTTTTGCTGTTTCTGTAGTGACCCCCTTTCAATTATCTGTAGTATGTTTTTATGCTTCATAATGTATCTAACTATTTCATGTTTGTGAAACTTGGTCTTTATTCCAATAACTGGTTTCTGTCCTGCATATGGAGAGCAGAATTAGCCCACTTTCAGCTGGAGCTTTGCCTCTATGGTGTAAGGGTAGAAACCTCAACACTTTTAAACCCACTGAAGTGAGATCAAAAGAAAAATGATGATTTAAAACACAGATGAATACAATTTCAATGCATCCTTAGGAGGAGCTGTGATCTTTTGGACTGTTGGCAGGCTCTTCATTGGCTGAATCCTCTTCAGAGAAAACATGCAGTCATAGAAATCCCTCATAGAGGATAGCTAACTGTACACTTTTGTTAAATGACTTCTCTTCTGGACGCGCTGTAAAACACATAAGCCAAGATGAGTTCATTGGTGTTAGCCAATGCAATATCCTTAGCACGACTTTATCTTGCCCTCCATCTCTCTTTCAAAGACTGGGCTTTCTGTGAATATTTGGCTATTCAGCTTTCTCTCCTTGACCCATTATACACTTGTATAGAGGCCTTTCTTATAGCTACCTTCACCACTTCCTATTTCCTGATCACTCTCAAATAGTGTTGGCCAAACAAGACATCAACATCTCCTTGCATCCAGGGAGTAATTTATGAGGTGCTGACAGGCTGTAGGGAGGCAACAGAAAGAGAGTTTTATTTTTTGTGATCAGGCTATGAGAGCCAAGAACTCATACTCCACACTTTACCACAACAAATATCTTTGAGAGTTTTTTATACAGAACAGTTCCTTGTATCATTGAGAGTTTAAACCTGCAACGTCTTTCAACACCTAGTATTGTCAAAGTGAATTACTGGACAACCTCCCCCTACAAGATGTACTGGTAAACTACAGTATTCACTTTCTTAACCCTACCCTGCATTGTAGTACTTTTTCCCCTTTTTTTCTTTTTTATTTAGCGTCCTTTGAGAATGACATATCAGTAAGATACAGCTATTTTGTTCAGTTGCAACCAACTTCAACAGATTGCACACCATTCATATTGGAGCGATGTTGATGGATGTGTCCATCCTAGAACCAAAAATGAACAGTGTAGTATTATTTTTACTTATAGTGATGATGAAACATGTGATGTTGTCAGGTAGTTGGATGGGCAACTGTGAAATCTCTTGCATTTCATGCATTAACAGTGTGTAGAAACATGTATTAATTGATAACAAAAGCCTAGTACCCTCAATTTGTGTGATCGGCTAATCAGTGCTTATTTAAGCATTTTCGTAAACAACCAGTTCCAATGTAACTGGATGATTGGATGATAAGATTATTCAATGGCGACTGTTTTCTAATGTAAGACTTTTTAGCCAACAAATGTTTTGCCCATTAATTGAGAATTGAACAATTTGACCAGTGCCAACAAGGATTGGTTGAAGCCAACTGGCTGGCTAGTTAAACCAAGTGTGTAGTGCACTGTACTGGCAGGTACAATAAACTCCTGTTCTTAATGTTCCCAACCCTAGTCCAGTTGCTGTTCACATTGTATGTATATTCTCACTTGTTACTGTGCCTAAGATGTATAATGGCAGGGAAAACGCTCCACCAAATGGAAATTAGTTTTTCATCAATTTTCTTTTTTAAGTAAGGAAAGACAGTATAGTTTGTGTGTAGCGTTCTCACCAGTATGGTTTCCAAAGGTCAAGGTTAAGCATCCCTCTGGGAGTGTGTGACACTACCATGAGTTTGTGACCCCTACGACAACCTCATGCCCGATCTGCTGTGACCGTGTTTTACTGTCCTGGTCAGTTATAAGGCCGGACAATAATACCAGACCTAGCTACTGTTCTTTGATCATTACCACATGGGCAGCCCTACCGCAGCTGAAAACCCTTTTTGTGTCCGTTTCCTCTCAAACGGTCCTGACATACTCAATAATCCAATAAATACCATACGTTTTTCTCCTGTTGCCAATACAAGGGAAGCAGCTGGGACACTGCTGTTGTGCGATGCATGTTCCTTTGAGTGATACATATTGTAATTCTCTATAAAAACTATCTTTTACACCTTGTATATTCAGTGTCATTTAAAGAAGTTTACATGCCTTGCAAATTCATCCTAATAAGCAATACACTTGGTGCTATACTGAATATCAGGAACACTTTATATCTGTAATATCAAGCCCATTACCTATCACATGAAATTGTTCATTAAGTGGCAGTCTGTCAACCAATTGTGACTTCTGTAGCCCTCACAAACGCTTACGATGGAAGCTAAATCTTGAAAAAATGATATTGAATTGAGTATAGGGTAAAATTGAGAATTTGGACATTCTTTTTTGCACACAAGCTTTTAAGTTTACCTGATTTTGGTTATTTTATTAATATGAATTACGTAAGCACTTATTTTAGAGTTTAATTCATTTTTTCCATGACTGCTAATAAGGTGGATGCTTAATGTATTTCAAATCTCCCTTGCTTGCCTTCTTGCATGCAAAACACTTTTATAAGTTAATGTTATGCATTGAGCAATGTCACTGTAACTTTCATATACTTGCCTCCAATGTGTTACAGTGTTGTTTTGTAATGTTGAAAATCATCATGTGTTCTGAATCAGATTCTGATTCTATAATTCATTAAACAAATGCATATTTAAATAGTGTCTCAAATATGCCACATATGTATTGTACTTCCCCATATGTGCCTCAAAGTCAGTTTAAGAGGGAACATTCTTGTTTGCTGCTCTTTAACAACAATATGCATGGGGCAAATCAAGTTTCTAATTATTGTTTTTTCTCCATGGTCTGTTGGTTACAGTATCCAAACATCATTTAATTTTGACATGTTCACACACCACACAGAGCAACTTTGAGACCAGTCTCTGCATTCTTCTTCATATGTTGTCTAATCTTCGTACACTTTCCCCTCCTTTAGCAAAGCCAAGCCGCCCCCTCAAATGTCCCCGAGCAAGTCCAGTGGAGGAGAGTTCTGCGTGGCCGCCATCTTCGCCTCATCTCGCTCCTGGTTCATCACCAACCCCAACATGAAAAGAGAGAAAGGTAAGACCATAGCCACAGGTGCTTTTTGAATTCAGATCCTGGCAATGTTCCAACAAGTCTTCCAAAAATGCATTACCAAAATAGACTGTTGCAGGAATGAGTCCTAAAACCCGGAAGTGACGTAGCATTTTACAACTTCCGGTTCCCTCTTCTCAAATAAAAGGGTTTTGTAAGGTCTGTGGTTAACATAAGCACTTCGAGCGATAGAATTACTAACAAAGAATTACTAACAAAGCACTTATATACTAATAAAGGACTGGCTTACCTAAAGCCAGTTGAGTAGCACTTGAAATGTTTTGGCTCTATGAAACCTGATGTACTTATATGATTCTGTTTTCTTCAAGGTTGTATCTTCTTGGTCGAATGCACTTATTGTAAGTCGCTTTGGATAAAAGCGTGACGTGCATCCCAACTTAACTTAAGTTTCTTTATAGCCTTATTTTAGCTTTTTACTTCTGGCGACTGCATTTTGCAATTCAAAAATCATAAATCAAGTGTGTTTGCTATAGATCTTTTATTTATCCAAATTCCAATGGACACATCTATTGTGTCATTGTTTTATCAAATCGTTTTCTTTTATCCAGGGAGCCCTTGAGATACTTACTTCCTGGTTGGCCAACAAAAATACATCTTCACTGCCCCACTCTATTAATACAAATATATATACATCTGGACAAATGACAACATGCTGGCAGTTCCTCCCTCATTATTGTTAGTGCACCTTTTAATTACCATTTTAAGTAGCAGATATAACAGTATTCTTATCACTGGCTTTTTCCCCTTCATAGATCCATCCAAGCAGTCAGTCGTTGAGTCGTTGTACATCATCAGCTGCTATGGAACAATGGTGGAACATGTCTTGGAGCCTCGGCCAATCAGCACTGCTCAAAAGATTAGTGATGACACACCACTGGAGCTCAACACCTGCCCAAGGGCCTGCTGGAATCTAGCCAGGTAAAACTATGCTGACCACTTCATCCTAGAAAGAGTGCCTCTAATACAGTCAGTGATACAGTTATTTCTTTTGGAGCAGGACTCCACAATGGAATGAGTTGCAGCCACCCTTCAACTCCAACCATCCCTTGGTGTTGGCCTCAGATCTGGTGCAGTACTATCAGTATCTTCTGGCTGGTGAGTGCTGAGAAAATCTTTCTATGTTCATTGGTTTAATTGTGTTCAACCATATTCACATATATTCTAGCATTTCAGGAACGTTTAATGCATATGAAGTCAATGTAAACAATATATTCCAGTACAAGTCAATGCATGCTTGCCTCAGGCAAATTGAAGTGAATATGTGTTCCAGGCGTCAACTTATTAATATACTTTTAAAGAAGGAAACATGTTGACAGTGCTTTATATATACATTAATGTTTCGTTTTTTTAAGAACCATGCTCGCTGTACTTCATCAGTTCCCAAATATATTGTCTGTAAAAAATTGCTGTTAAAATAATTACTCTAAACCTCATACTGTATGTTCATATGGCATGTCTTTTTCATGTTTTTGTGACAAACATCATTTACGGTCCGGATAGAAAATAAATACAAGCTCTGGGCGCTGAACACATTTAAAGCCCTTTATGTGCTGCACTTTGTGGTAATATAATAAATGACAGTGTGGCAGACAGCAACGTGCACTGTACATGCAGTGTACTGTACCAGATGAATCTGCAGCTCATGTTTAATATGCTCCGGCAAATGCGTCTGGTTCCCCTCCGCTCAGCAGCCTGTGATGTGACAAGCCAATCACAACCATTTATCCAATATGGGAAGTATGCAGAGCCCAGTTGAGGCATTTTTTAACACTACCAAGATGGCTGCAGCTGATCTGGAAACTTCTGTTGTTGGCCCGCTATTGGGAAGCCTGACAAAAAATTGCAAAGTCATCTGCCAAATCAAATAAAACAGAATCTTGCTAATTTGGAGAGTAAAAACACCTTTATTCTTTCATTTCTAATGGCAACAATTGCAACATTAATTTACAGATATGAATCATGCTACTCACTCATAGCGCATATAGCGATATCAAAATAAAAAAAGGTATGTTTTTGGAATCAACTATTTCAGCTGAACATGTAGTTTAGGTAAATATGTATTTCCTCTTTGCTTTTCCCTTTGTGGTATATTTTTGACACCATTACTTAACAAAATATTGATTTGCTATAAAGTGAGTTTGAATTCAAAGTGCCATTTTACCATTGCGTATCTGCCTGTACTGTATGTACAATTTAATTGTATACATGTAGGTATTGACATATAGGAAAATGTATGTTTTGGTTGAACTTGGTTGAAAATACATGCTGTGTAGGCATGCATTTTCTATACGCATCATTAGTCAAGGTGGTGACCCCTATTCCCTGCTTTTCCATGTTGACTGTGTTGAAAGCCAGTCCTTTGCGTCGTATTGGTGCCACATGCTGAGATGAGACCTCTCCAGTCAAAAGCCATAACATGTCCTTTCTCAAAGAGTTCCGTGAAAGATACTTCAGCCAGTTGTACTATTTCACATCTCATGAGCGATATCGGAAAGTATCTCCATTCCTTTGTTCGGTACTCAAGTCCGTTCTTTGGCGGCCACGCTAAATGCCAGCTCCGGGACACGCTAGCATAATGCTATAAGATGCCGCTCTCAAACCAATTAGCTGACACCCTAAACTCTCTAATTCAATAACAAGTACAGAGCAGTGAGCACTTTAGTTTGCCCTCTGAAAGGCCAATTCGCAAAAAGCACCGAGTGCACTCGGATGGCCACACACGGTATCAATCCACCCCCTGGAATCGGCTGGCGTTTTGAGCTCAGTCCATAATTATAAACACACGGAATCTGTAATTAGCTCTCGCGGCTGCTCCGGGGCAAGTGGTAGCTGTTTTACCCTAATTTCTCCACTCGTCTCTGTTGACTTCTGCACTGCTCCAGGTCTAACTGGTAGGATATTTTTCTCAAATTAGTGCTAATGGTCTCTCCTAGTGTCACAGCAATGAGGACACGTTGGAGTGACGGACATGCGCGTCAACTTATTCTACCATTCTCTCTGCCAACATGGGCAGAGGAACTGGCTGCATAATGAGAGGGATTCATTGCATTAACATTTACATCCAATTAACAATAGCCAGATAACACCGCCCTGTCTCTTTATTCCCCCAACCATCCAAGTGTGAACAATGCGGGGTCACAACGCTATAAACATCATTGTTCAGCCCTCTACCCATTTCGTGTGCTCCTGCCATTTTCCCTCAGGGTCGGTGTCCTAGACACCGCCACCACCGGTCTTGTCTCTTGCACGGCAACTTCCAATTTTTGTGTGCATTGCAACCGAGCTCAAGCATTCGACATCCCCTTTCTCAGCATGCTTCCCCTTGCCAGCCATCTCCTATGCCGTTCCCTCCAGGGCTTGGCAGCGCAAAGGAGTAGTGATCCAGGAGAAAGAGTCGATTTGACCCTAGGATGAATTACAGCACAGCCATACGCTTCTTGTCCAGTTGCCTCCTGCTGAACATAACGATCCTGCCACTGCAGATGAAACTGAAAAAGGCACACAAATCTTACTTGCAGAACAAACTGTGCTATTTAGGTCTTATTTGTGTGTCGCGGCGGGCAGGGAAGATAGTGGCCGACCCCCTCCCACCCTGGACACAAACTGTTCACCCCCCTCCCCTCTGGCAGGAGGCTACTTCTTCACCACTTCAACCGTTTCTTCCCTTAACGACCTAATTAAACAGTATGCATACAATTAATGCACACTTTTATTTTATTTAAGTAATGTCAGTCAGTAATGTCCGAACATGTTGCACGTTTGTTCCATTTGTATCTGCACAGCTTTCAACTTTTCGTAACAATACTGCAGATATATTTTATTATTCAGACTATTTTGTTATACAGTATTGTGCTGTATGTAGTACTTTGGTATATCTATATATCATGTAAAAATTGCACCATATTCCGTAGGTATCATAGTTTTTTTTAAATAATATTCTTTGGTCCTTTTCCTAAAATGTATCTTCTTTGATTTGTATGTATGCACCATATACAACAAGACAAATTCCTTTTATGTGTACATTTCCTTGGCAGTAAATGTGTTTCTGATTCTGATACAACCATTACAAGAGAGAGGAAGACCAAAAGAAGAAACAAGACAGAAGGACTTTACCATAAAAAAACTATAACAAACGGAAGTACTGGACGAACCATACTAAGAAATCTATGGAAATTCCCTTCTTCTAATCATCTTACAAAACAGGCTGTGTCTCGAAAAAGGTGACACGACGGCACAAAGCTGGCAGTGCTTGATTGACAGGCCGTGTTCTCTGGTCTCGTGGCTCAATATTGGATGACCAAGGCTGATTAAAAATGCAGTATGCAGGGAAAGGAGTAGGAAGGGGAGAGGAAGGGCCGGGGTCATGCAAGACCGGAGCCTCCAGGACGGGATGATAAAAGGCAGCAGTGGCGCCACTTCATGGTCACTATCTCCACCTGTCCATCTGTAGCAGCTACTCGCAGCACTCAGCCTCGCAGAGGACAGCAGCGTGCTGCACTGCCTCGGAGAGATAAGGAAGAAAGGGACACACATTATACAGTATACTCACAAATAGAGGAGATGCTGTAGAGCGATACAGCTTAATAAAAGTAGTCTTGAGCCAATTGTTTAGTGTTTGGGGATCCCCTATTTGTAGATAATGTGGAATCACAGGATTGTTGTCTCCAAAAGTATTAGGCAAGTGTGTGAATGGATCAATGTTCTCTTGGCCAGAGGTGTTTGAGCTGGGTAATAAGGTGACTCCTATAATCCCTATCAAAACCCCTAATGTATTATAATTAAACCTTTTATTCCGATTTTCTTCTCACTGATTGTTTTGCTGGGGTGATATTTGCTTAGCTGTCCACACCATGCTTTCCAACATCTTCTCCCCTCGCCGCAAAGTTGTTTGAAGTAAACAACCTGGTGAATAATTTACCACCTATATCTGGCTGGCTCCTTTGAGCCTGGCGATGAAGGCGGCAACAGAGGCTATGCTTTTTGGCCGCGGCCCTCCCCTCCCTACCTGTCATATAATGTGCTAATTGTGGAGACTGACTGACTGGCTCGCTCGGCTGCTCTCTTGGGACTTTGAGGCCCATGACAGGCCAGCCTCAGTTGCCTTGTCAATAGATCTAATTGCTCCGAGAGAGGGGCTGGAGTGATGGCCTTGGAGCATCATCAGGCATTTGGTAAAGAGAAACCATGGCGCCATGACTGGGTCAGTAATCAAAGAGAGGGAGAGAAAGGAAGGGGTAAGTGTAGCACTGGCTGAATGAAGGTACTGTCAGTCAAATCCGCCTTGAATGATATATAATGACTAAGCTATCCCAATCTGTCAGTATGCCAGCACCTATCTGCCAGAGTACTACTCCAAAGAGGAAAGCGAGAAGAGAGGAACGTGAGAAGAGAGATAGGCAGAGGGAACCTAGCAGGTGAAATGTCTGGCAGCCAAGTGTGGCAGGTCAAAGCAGAGATAGGAAGAATACAAAAAGACTAAATTCATCTTTAAAAAAATGAATAAGATAAAGGTGAACAGAGAGGCCAGACTAGACAAGACGGCTATCCTCTGTCCACCGAGCAGCCAGATCTATCAGATTGTTGTCCCTTATCTGGCCCTGGAGATCGGCTTGTCCGACCGCTGGCCCAAGGCCTCGGGAGGTCGGGCTACATCAATACCTGGGCAGCCTTTGTTCTTGTTCTGACTCCCTGCTTCACTGCTTTGGCCAACAGGCCACTGGCTTCCAGCCTTCAGCACAGAAAAAAAACAAAAACACTCTCTCTGCATTCAAGACAAATCTGTTCCTCTGCGATGTAGATTGTTTTTCTTTCCTATGTCGATATGCAAGCATATAACTACAGTGTGGTTGCCGAAGAAACTGACCAAAGCAAAGTTTTACACTATTAAACCAACCTTTATATTTAGGACTAACACCAGACAACAGGATAAGTATATTAGCCACATAATAAAACCCCAGACTTTTCATGCATTTCTTCAGAAGTTAGCGATGGTACAGAATGTTTGGCTGACAGATGGTTAAGAGGGACTAATGTGCCAAAAATGTTCAGGGTCATTGTCAATTAGCTTTACTTATGCAGCAACACAAAGTGGCAAAATGTGCAAGCATACATTTATTGTAGTACCAAGTATGATTCCAATGGAAGTTCCTCAAATTCAGAACATATTATACATTGATGAGATGTGTTTTGAGCCTAAAAATGTAATTAAATAAAAAAATGTATTTACTCAAATGGCTCGAGTCACCTTTTGACCTCTTTGTCATAAGCATGAGTTATTTGGGAAATTGTTCAACAATGCTTGATTGATGCGACAAAGGCATTATTATTGCAAAAAAACAAACATTCCAAAAAAAAATTCTAACAGGTCTGAATTTACTTTTTTTTAAAAATACGACTGAATATGAGTATGCTATATAAAATAAAGCAGTCACTTAAGCAGTTAAACATTAACAAGGAGAACAATTGAAGAGATCTCAAGTAGACTGATGAGAAGTGTATTATTGAATTATCCTGTTTTTAAAATGAGTTTTAGTAAATTACATTATGCTATGCCGACTCGGATGTTTCTATAAATATGTAAATTAAAAACAAGATCATTTCTACTGTGCTTAAGCCACACACTTAAACTCCTTTCTTCAGTACAGTGCAATAAGTTTGCACTTAAAAATGTCCCGTCTGTGAAATTGCATTGACGTTCTGTCTCATAAAAGCCAGTAATGAGCGTTGTAAAAGCAGAAGGCCAAGTGGCGGGCTAGCCGGACGCTAAGATGGGTAGATATGACTGTAACAGCCGGGTTCAGTCTGGCTCCTGACGTACACACACACACACACACACACACACACACACACACACACACACACACACACACACACACACACACACACACACACACACACACACACACACACACACACACACACACACACACACACACACACACACACACACATAAGGAGGGTTGTGTATTGGCCTGACCCATGGGTATGACCACTAGCTCCCCACGCCGGAGCCTGGCTGTGACTCTGGCCATTGAAAGCCCCCTCCCCACTGGAAACATGATCCAGCCAGTCCACCAACTGCTTCAGAGCATCAATAATTAATTAGGGAACAGTTATTGGCCCCTATGGTCAGGGAAAGAGAGAAAAAGGGCAGGGGTAAGATACATATATGCTCAGGCTTGGGGGAGTGGGGATTACATGTAACAAGATTACTAACCAGCATACAAAAAAGGGTAACTGTATTCCCTTACAGTCAACAGATTACTGTTGCAGGTCTTATAATTATGGATTACTAGCAGGATTGCAATGTTAGTAAAACAACTAAAAACAGCATATTGTGTAATGTAAGCTGTTCTGTTCTGCAGGCTAATACTTTAAGTGTGATTTTATACGCTGCCTGAATCTGCTTTATGGTTTCCTTTTTTTAAATCAGTAGGTCAACCTTTATGTTCATACACTAGTGTGTGTGAGGTATGTATTAACTGTATGTATGCATGTATTGAACTAAACGGAGCATTTGACGTCAGCTTAGATTTTATGTCTGCTTTTTTAAGCTGTAGTATGCAAAAAGAACCGCATTCCATTACAGTTGAATACAAAAATACGTAATCAGATTACTGAAACGTTTAAACAATTTCAAATATAAAAAAAGATAAAAATGGGGATCTGTTACTAGCAGGATAACAGGGGGCGTGTGGGAGAGAAACTCCCTCTGGAAGGCACTTTGAGACTGTAGCCTTTGCAGACCATTTACACACAAAACAAATACATATAACACACAAGAAAGGAACAACTCCAGAAAGCATAATAAGACCTGTTTAGATGAAGTCACTGATTACATATCTATAGGTCATTTCTAATTGTAATGGAATACATTCTTAAAGTTACCCTCCCAGCCCTGTTTAAATATAAATGATTACAATAACCTTTCAACAAATTGTGCGTGTGTGTGTGTCAGTGTTTTATAAAGAGTCAGTGAGAGCGAGGAGAACATGACAGAGACCAAGAGACAGATGGAGTTCTCATGGCTTGAGTTAGCAGGCATGCGGAATAAGTCCTAATGTACAGAATCAGTCCGCTCTCTGTCTCCCACCTCAGGTATGGGTTTGTTTAACACAGGAATAGCTAATAAACTTGTCAAGTCCACATCTGGAGAACAGGAGGCGCTGCTGTATTTAGCCACACACTCACACTCTTCATACACACATGATGAAGGTTTTGCTTTTTGAAACCTCTGTAACACCATGTCACACACTTCACCACTCCACCTTCAAATACATTCCCCTTCCCCAGTCCTCGTTTTTTTTACATATTTATTTTTCTTTTACATATTGGTTTTTGATCTTATACAAAAACATCATGTCTGCACAGAATTAAACATTTGAACCATTAAGTCATAACTGCCTACATATTTGTATTGGTATAGAAAAAGACCATATCAGACTAAACACACTTTAATAAACTAGTTCTCAATTATCATTTTCCTTTACAGGCTCATTCATGCAAATGATAATAGAAATATGTGATTTACTCCCCTAGTCAGCTGTTCCTCTCTTTAAGCACTATCAGTGTCATGTTTTATGAAGCTGAAGGCCTTGACACTTTTTAATACATTCATTCTGTATAAACCATTGAAAACTTAAATATTTCAGATCATCTCTGCTTAAAAACCGTAATGAAATTGGATATTGGAACGCAATATAGGCAGCTAAAAATATATAACATTTCATCGATGGGTAAAACATTATAGAATGGTGTGTTTGTGTGTTTTCCTAGCGATGCCCCCAGGAAGCCCCGGCCCGATCACCCGCCACGAGTCGTCGGACAGCCTGGCGTCAGACCACAGCGTTCCTGAGGACGAGGAGTGGCTCTCTCAGGTCAGAACCTTATCTCTACCAACATTACAGTTACCTGACTATAACATTTCGGTTGCTGTGTTTTAACATTTACACTGTTGCTTTGGACAAAAAGAAAAGTTTGATTATGACTGATTGGCTTAATGTGATTCTTAAAAATCCCGCTTCAAGATTCACTTTACTGCAACACAGGGTGTGTCCAAATTGCAATAAAAACAGGTTTGATAAATTATCACATTTGAATGTTTGACTTAATTTTGCATGATTCTCTCAAATTCAAAACTTAAGTTCAGGAAAACAAAATATGATTGCGGTTGCAAAAAGGCTTTTTCCTATACTAAATGAAAAGACTATCTGGATATTAATTGTTTGGATCCACATTTACTGACCTTGAACATTAAAATAGGATAACTTCCTAATCATGAATGTCATCCTACAATACACTGAAATGTTCACAGTATTTGTCGAGGCTTGTTAGAAATATCCAGTACACAAACCCTTGTCTTTTCAGCTTAACCCTCAAAGCACTCATCCTACGTGTCGGCAGGTAACCCACTACATTTTCACCATCAATTATTCCACTGCATGTATAATTGATCGGTTAAAATGCACCCCACTTAGCTTGCTGAGGCACTGGTCCATATCTGCCATGATAGTTTGCCAGGAGCAAAACTATCCATTGCACTAACCTAGATTTTTAGGAAAGTCCTGTCAAAGCATTGGTAGGGATGTATTCTTCAGTGGTTGGATATGTAACGATACAGCTCTACATACCTTAGCATGTACCTACGATGGAACTCTTTTGGATCGTTCCAGACTATTAAGGAATTTAGGCTAAAAGGACCAAAACGAAATAAACACAGGGATGTGGATAAGACATAAAGGGCAGAATTCCAGTACCTCCGATTTATCACACAGTATCTTGGTGGATTGAGAAATGCTTTTTGAATTACAGTCTAAGTAATTGCCCGGTGGATTCCATCATATCATATCAGTTGCCTTCATTAGATTATAAGCAGGCGTTTTGGCTTTGCGTTGGGATTTAGGATTGATCGGCTCTCCACTAATGAAATGTGAGGTTTGTGACCCTCCATGTCAGTGCTCCAGCCGCTGTAACATCAGGCCGTTTGCTGCTTATCAGCCAGAGTAACTCTTCAGCTGGCTGTCCGTCGACAACAAATGCTCCTGTCCTTACACCTCCGCTCCACCGCAGGTCTCTACATCTCATCTGTCAAGTTTGATGTGATGGAAAATAATGACATAGCTCATAGCAGTTGATAGATGGTTGAAGTGATCTAGTCATTCCTAGTACATGAATGAATATGTTCTAAGACATTGTGCCTTACAACATCTCACCACAAGTCAGAACATGTTGGGCCTAGATGAGCCTTTGTTGCTTTAGTTCTTGCGATGTGTCCCTCACATATGGCACTTTTTGGCCCTGGCATTGGTGAAAGACTTACATTATTTATTTATTGTTCAGCTAAAGAAGAGGAGAAAACAAACAGGTGTAACGAAAAACAAGCAAAGGGCTCTTTCAATTTGTATCTTCATCTCATCTCTTCTTTCCAATACTCGGAAACGTTGACATGACCATTTGGAATAAAGCTAACTGGTGATCAAGAGTCGTTTGAAATTCATCAGCAAATTATGCTTTGTTTTAATGTATGTATCATGACAACAACTTGCATATCTGCAATCTTAGGTCTTTATGTTTCTGATTTTGAAAGATTGAGAGATTGAAGAGTTGTTTTCCTCTTGCAAAGGACCTGAAGGCGTGCTAGTTGGTCATTAGCTTTAGTCTTTTGGTGTGTTCACATGCACGTTTTTGTCAAGAAACGGACGATGTAAGCTAATCAACATTGACCCCATTGCCATTAGTTATTTGATGTCTGTTTGGTGTGTCTGGTGTGCCTTTAGTGTTTACAGTATATGCATACATATGTGTATGAACACTGATACACAGAGGACTCTAGAAAGTGTAAGCTCCCACTCTTGTCTTAGATGTTGGCCCCTAGCAGCCAGAGTGGAGTTCTACCACGAGCTGAGAGCTGGGCTGAGGTGAGAGATGAACATGTAGGAAGTAAAGATAATTACATGTGAACACTGAGACACCAAGATCCATGTTAAGTGTTGCAGGGAGTTGAAAAGTCAGAGTTAGCGTGGGAGAGATTGAACAAGTGGGAGTTGCAGCCAGAAGATTGTTACATTAAAGTCGAAGAGGAGATGGAGAACGGAGGAGGCATTAATAGTCTGATGTTTGTGAGTCATCCACTCCTATCCTACATTCAGCAGGCATTAGTGCCACTCCGCTCAGGTGCCTATGGACCGCCTGCCATTCCAGTGCCATCTTGTTTCTCCCAGGAGGCCACACTTCAGCCTCAATGCCATGATGTTGCTAGTCACACTTCCATTAACCCTCTGGGAATGCTTCCCATCGTACCACCGGCTCTCCCAACACACAAGACCTAGATGAGTTCTGACAACATTCTCAGACTTTTAGTAGTGCAGGGGTACAGCAAGCTTTTTGTTGGATGTCATGTAAATGAGTTCATATGAGTAGTCTATGGGGTGAGTATTGGCATATAGCCAACCCCCTGTCAAATCCACTGATGACGACTCTTAAGGAAAATTGCCAGGACTCTACCATTGACTAACTGGCGATAGAGGAGAACCACACAGATGTTTTTTGTAATAGAATGGAATGACAGAAAAGTAATCGTTTCATTTGGTTAGTGTTTCCACTTTGGTTGAAATAGGAATATCTGGAGAACAATGGGATGCGTTTCTGTTTTTCTGTGTTATTGTGTTGCACTGTTGGAGGAGCCTGTGACCTAAGATTTTCATCGTCATAACTACACTGTAGCTATGTTCGTATGACCAATACAAACCTTGAAACCTTGATGCTATGCATTTTCTTACACATATTAATTTAATCCGCAGAACAAAGTGGCAAAAATGATGTTATTCTAAGGAAAGAATGTAATTCCCACACAGTTTTATCACCATGTTTTTGTGCTTTACCAGAAAGACAGATGAGATAGATGTTAGCTAAAATTAATTTGAGTTACAGAAGCCGGCCCGTAAAAGACTGTTTGACCTTTTCTCTCTTTAGCATTCTCATTAATGACCAAACACCTACAAATCTAACTGAAAATATACAAATTCCCAACGGTCTTGAATATACTCCGTGTTAAGTGCTATTTGGCATTTGTTAACGAGCCTAATTGTACATGCCACAAGCTAAACTGGAACAGTAAACAAGTTCAACGTTAGCTGCTAAACATAAGATAGTTGATGTGTGAGCAGAGGTCGCGTTTACCGTATATTTTCCGTCTATGACGTTTTTTTTTTAACAATGACGGAAAAATCTGAAAGCCGTCCGTCCTTTTGACAGATTAGAACAAACTCAGAACAGCGCCAAAGTTTCACCGCAACGGGGCTCCGGTGTTATGCCATCTTATTATGCATGCCCTCCCAAAAGGAAATGATATCGCTTCCAAACGATATCCCCCCCCGTTTGGAAACGATACCCCCCGGCAGAGTTGTGTACAGGCCGACGGGTTATAATGGATTTTGACGGACATTTTACGATCCTGTCCGTTAAAATGACGGGCAGCGAAAAAGTCTAGCGCAACCTCTGTGTGTGAGCATCTGAACATTATGAGTGTTACTCAATCATATTCTTGCCTCACTAATCTTTTCTCTTAAATCTCAGGTGGAAATTGTGACCCACACAGGGCCCCACCGACGCCTTTGGATGGGCCCACAGTTTCAGTTCAAGACCATTCACCCTTCAGGCCAGACCACCGTCATTTCCTCCTCATCCTCCGTCCTTCAGTCCCAGGGTCCCTCTGATGTCCAACAGCCCCTGTTGGATTTTGACACAGATGACCTGGACCTTCACAGTTTCAGGTACAAGTTGTTAATACATGAAGTATATATGCCAATATATGGCATTTTCGCCCGATATCAACAAGAACAAACTGCCTGCCCCGGCTGTAATCACTCGTTTAAAAAAAAGAAGCAAAGCATCTGAGGCCCGTGGATAATACTGCATGTGTGTAGCATACTGTACATGTCCAGGCCTACTCCTTCTATCCTACTGACCTAATACAATATGTTTTCTTGGTACAGAAATCAATCCTTCCAATATCCTGATTCATATTGCAGTTCCAATATCAGTCAGATTAATCACAATAAGTTTTGTCTTACACATTCTTCAGTAAGTAATGTCCAGATATGTTATGTGTGCAGGATCCAACCGGTACGTTCAGAGCCAGTCAGCATGCCCGGCTCCTCCAGGCTGGTAGCTGATCGCAGAGGGCAGGCCAACATCATGGACTCAGGATCAGGTAGGAAACTTTCTTTGTTGACCTCTTCTTTATTGTAATACCTCGTCTTTTGCACTTCTGATACCATCTTGGTTCTTTATATTGGCTTGTCCTCCTAATGGTTTCATTCATATGATGATCTTTTCCATCAACCTTACTGCAGTCTCTCATTATTTCATATTGGTCAATCCCATCAACCTCATAATTTGAACAGTCAGACTATAGTATGTTTTGGTGCTGTCTGTGTGGTCCATGCTTTTCTTGTGTTTTGGTATACTTACAATAATACTCAACCAACATGATACATTTCCACAAAGAAATATATTGCAATAGAATGATCCAATAGTAAAATAATGGATATTATTATTATTATTATTGTATTATTATCTGCCATTCTTTTCCTACTTGGAATACAATTCCCAACCACTTTTGGAAAATTGAAGTATTTTGCATTCATTATTATTGTGGCAAGGTTATAGAAAACTGAATCATCTTCAATTGTCTAAATTGTCCATCTTACCTGATCCATATTCTACATCCTTCCCTGATTGGATGAATTGAAGTTATGGTGGGAAGGGGTGAAAGTTTAGACTCAGTTGTCCATTTTTGAATGAATACTTGAAGATTTTCTATGGTTCTACCAACTAAGCCTTGCATATAAAAACATATAGAGGCCAAAATCATTCATATAATGACTTCTTTATAATTGTAGGTGTGTTTTCATGTAATCATTTGGTTTTTCCGAGTCCCAACCTTCCATACCGTACATTATCAAAGATATAATTACCTGAAAACAAAATGTTTTAGCTGATCTAAAGTTATAGATCAACAGCAGTTTAATAGCATAATGCCAATATTTTCTCAAACTGTAAAAGCTCTTGTCTGTTTTGGAAAATACCCCAAAAATAATCTTAAAAGAACATCATAAAGAATTACCTAATTGTACCTGCAAATGCTTTACATGTTGAGAAGCCTTTAACCTGTAACCCCAGAACAAATGACCATAACTTCACTTCTAAAAGGGGTACATTAATAATATGTTTTCTCAAAGCAATGATAAACCTGTGAGTTGGATGTAGAAGAGTCAGAATCAATATAGATGTTTTTTATTTTAAAATAAATTCAGATTGAACATAGTAAAAAAAATTAAATGATAGTGTCCGTCCAAAAAAAACAATATGACTTATAGTGAAAACAACCCTTGAATGATGGGATAGTAGACTAAAAGCTTTATGAATCCAAACTATAACATATAATAAGTACCCTGTATCAAGATTGATGCAAAACAAGTGACATTTTACCTTTTTAGAGAGGCTTAGCAACAAAAAAAAACTTCTTGGGTCATTTGGGTAGATTTGCCATATTTCTGGCCCCCCTCGGTCGATTTTGATGACTGACACCTCTTTTGAACCGTTAGAGCCAATAGAATCGAGAGGGATGTTCCTAAATCCATCTAAACATTACCATTGATGAATGAGTGATGCGTAGCCAGAATGCCCAAAATCGGAAGCTGGGTTGTAGCTCTCACACACTCTATATGAAATCTCAGTTTTTGACAAAAAATGTAAGCTGGATTATCATCAGTAATAATTTCAAAGTGACACAGACACATTGGATTAACCTTCAGCAGCGTTTGTATGCGTTTTAATGCCATTGAACACAACTTTTGATTAGAAAAAACAAAGGTAAGACGTATTTGCCATTTTGGCTCCGTAAAGCTACGTTGTGTGTTGTCTGGTTTTGCCTTCGCTGCCCTGAGTTCTGGTTGCACCGTGATGATAATTATACCTCTAGAATCTGTGGAATCTCAGCTTTCAGTTGATATCTTGTTTGTGCAGATCCGATAAGTAATACAATATTTTTACCGTGAGTTATGTGCTAAGTGCATTAGCATTTTTTCGCTTAGTGCTAATTCAGAGGCTTGGTATTAGTTTCTTCCCGTTAAGTGGGTATGACAAATTAATAGGTTGTTAAATGTTAAGAAGCCCTGAGACACAGTTTTGTAAAAAAAATCAGGTTAATACACTAAGCATATTGCTTAGAGTATGCTTTGTTTGCTGGTTGTATCTTAAGGGAGACTGCTGAAATCGGTTTGAATGAGTTTAACGTTAAAGAGATTTCCGTTGACGTTGTCTAACACAAGTACAATCGCATCCAAGTGGATTAGAAGTAGTCCGACATTTACAGCAGCCATTCTTCAGCTTTCCTACGCGAGTTGCTGCTCCTGTTGTTCTCCCTTCCTATTGTTATGTGAACTTTGTCCTTTTTCTGTAATTAAATAGACTGCAATTGTTTGAAAAGGCCTGTAAAGTCTATCAGCCATTGAACAGGATTGATTTATTTTCAAGTGGTTTTGATGTCCCTCTACATGTCTCCTTTAATCTGGTTACGATGTTAGCCTAATCCAATCACACACAGAGATGAGAGGATTTCCCCTTTAAAATATGTATTTTACTCTCAAATGATAATGCTGTTACATGGGTCTTGTGAATGTGTGTGTGGATTATGCCTGGTATTTACTGCCAGTGTGGGTATGGGAACCATCACTTATTGTGTGAAATTATATCCTGTTGCCTTTTGTCTGATAAAGGAGATAAAGGAGCGACACAATGTCTGTGACATCAGCTGTGTCTTGTGACAGAGACTTCAGCCAGGTCCGCCCACACACTGACATACTGTAGAGCGACTGCTGGGCTTTTTTTATACAGGTGCCAAGAAACATTTACATCATGTGTCTCAAAAAGGTGTTTCGAATATCTGATTTGATCTTTGTCTTCTCTGCCTGTTGCTGCTTCCCAACACATACCGGGTCATACGCACCACACCACACACAATTATGATAAGCAGATCAACAAAATGTTGGAATGTAACTAAGTATATTTACTTAAGTATAATTATACCGTCCTTTACTTGAGCATTACCATCCACTAGATGAGGGAAATGTTGTGCGTTTCTAATGCACTACATTTGTTTGACATTTAACATTCACTCAGTAGTACACAAAATATCCAAAATGTGCTTCACATTGACAAATTAAAACATACAAACAACTCCTATATGCATTTCCTGGATATACATGTACAAATTGAATAATATTAACTTATATTATATTGATTAAAAAAAACATTCTGCACAATGAGTGAGAGATGATTCAGATGTTAAATTCAGAAATGTTACTTAAAATAAAGTATTTTAAACCTTACTATTAGTACTTTTACTTAAGTAAAGTATCAGAGTACTTCGTAGATATGTTTTTTGACCAATAATCAACTTTGTTTTATTTTCATCTGAACAATGACTAGCTTGGACCATAATTCATCCACTTCCATAATGAAAGTATGTTCTGACCTGGATTTTATTAAATATTTATTGCAGAATTTAATTAATACATTGGGTCCACATTTAGTTCACTTAAAGTAGTGCTGTTTCCCAATTTGGATACTTCCCATAATACACTGCCTGTCGTGCTCTGTAAAAACGTGTGCACTGTGTCTATGCCAAGCATGTTGTGTTACCTAAAAACACTAGAGAAGTAACCAGAAGCTAGCTAGCTAACAGCGACATGTGGCGGCACCAAATCCTTATAGACTGCTCAATTAACCCTATAAAATAAACAATGGCTTCTTTACGACACCATATAAGTGTTACCTAAATAGTAAAACAAACATGTGTCACTTGCGAGAGCAACTTCAACCGTTGCGTTTTGATTAACCTGTTAAACTCAATAACAATATTCACAAAACTGTGTCTCAGGGCTTCTTAACATTAAACCACCTATTATTGTGTCAAACCCACTTAATGGGAAGAAACTCAGCTAACTGACAATATGAAAAAATTGTACCGAAACAAAACACAACTCTAACGCCGAGCATCTGAATGCACTTAGCACATAACTCACGGTATTTTATACTTCTGCAATCTGCACAAACAAGATATCATATGAAAGCTGAGATTCCTCAGATTCCAATGGTATAAGTATCATCACTGTGCGACCACAACACATAACTTCACTTTACGTCTTACTTTTGCTGTTTTCTGATCAAAAGTTGTGTTCAATGGCATTGAAACGCATATAAACGCTGCTGAAGGTCAATCCAATGTCTCTGTGTCACTTTGAAATGATTACTGATCATCCATCATAACATTTATGTCAATAAGAGTAGTTTTCATATAGAGTGTAACCCATCTTCCGGTTTGGGGGATGCTGGCTGCGCATCACTCTCATTCCTCAATGGTAATGTTTAGATGGATTTAGGAACTCCCCCTCGATTCTATTGGCTCTAACAGTTCAAAACAGGTGTCAGTCACCAATGGGTTCCAGAGATATGGCAAATACACCCAAATGGGTTTTCTTCTAAACCTCTCAAATGTCACTTGTTTTGCATCAATCTTGATACAGGGTACTTATTATATGTTATAGTTTTGATTCCTAAAGCTTTTAGTCTACTATCCCATCATTCAAGGCTGGTTTTCACTGTAAGTCATGGGTTTTTTGGACGGAAACTATAATTTACACTGTTCTACTATGTTCAATCTGAATTTATTTTTAAAATAAATACATCTATATTGATTCTGACTCTTCTACATCCAACTCACCGGTGTATCATTGCTTTGAGAAAAAAGATTATTAATTTACCCCTTTTAGAAGTGAAGATATAGTCTTTTGTTCTGGGCATTTCATTTTCAAGCCTGAGACCTGAAAAACAGGCTTGGGGTTTAACAGGTTAAGAGTTTTCCAAATTCTAATTTCTGTTTTAGAAGTGTGTCACTCAAATAACTATATAGTTATTTAGATCAGTCGATGAAGTCTTATTCAAATGTGCCTTTATGACTCATTCATAATAACATAAAAGGGAGGGAGATGAAGAACAGTCGCTGGTTAAACCACAGACCTACGCTTTATATTTCCTCCATCCCTGTCTGTATCCTTCTGTCTGCCCAAATTGGTATCTGTGGTTGTTCTGACTCCAGCCGGAGCTCTCTTTTTTTCAGTTATCAACTTTTGGTTTCAGAGCAGAGAG